GCACCTGTTGTTATTATAATTGCTATTATAAGTGCTGTGATTATTATATTTATTATATATGTAACTGTAGTCCTCGATTCGTTGCTTTAACAACCCAACCCGCTTCGTCTTTTGCAGATAACGGGTAATGGAGTCCAACTGCCGTAAACTTGTCTCAGCCTGCGTGCAGCTAGGTAAGAGAACCCACCGCCCCGCGGCCTCCGATCGGGGAGCCGGGAGGCGCCGGGGGAACGCAGGGACCCGCCGCCCACAGCTCCTCCGCGGGCCTCGCCGCTCCGCGCCCGGCCGCCCGCCTGCGCGGCACTATGGCGCCCCCTGCCGGCCGCCGGCCGCTCGCGCGGCGCCTCCAGGTGCGCACCCTCCCCCAGCCGCCCGCTTCCAGCAGCGCCCCGAAACGCTCGCAGCGCTCGCACCGTGCCTCTCCGCTGCCGGCGGGTTCTCTCTGCTAGCTTGGGGATTTTTTTTTCTTAATTGTTTCCATTTTTAGCCCCCCATAACCTCCCCATAGCTGAGGGGTGCCACACCGCCTTCACATCCTCTGCCCGCTGCAGGGGGCCCGAGGGTGGGCGAGCCCAAGGGGTGATAAAGAAAAACACCCAGGCAAACACATTATAAAGAAGAAAACAAGCGCTCTGTATTCCAAGAGACTGTTTAATCCAAGATAAACGTAATTTTGTTTAAATAAAATATATTAACCTGAATTAATAATACAGGAAACTAGACGGAATTAATAATGCACGCCTTGCCAGTGTCGTGGTTAAACACTCCCCTGTGGGAATGCCGCGTTAACCCCCGCGGCTCAGTGCTGCTCTGGGAGTAGCCTCAGGCTCAGAGCACCATGAGGCCATCGGACATCGCAACCCCCCAGGCACTACGGTGAGGATCGGGGGCGGCAGAGAGTGAAATGCGGGGTGATCCCGGCCGTGCAGGTTTTAGGAGCCAATAAGTTTTAATCCCGGAAACATACGCCATGTTGAATTGGGCTCAAATCGGTTTTGCCGGGTGCTGGCACTTTGTCCTTCTGCCGGTAATAAGTGTTAAATAACGTGGAAAGGAAGGGTGACATCGCTTTATGTATGGTTGGGAAATAAGGAGGGCCTTCCTCCCTCCCGACCAACAGGTGGTCTTAATCAGAGCTCTGAGCGCAAGCTAATGGGGAAGTGGGAACCTTTCCGATAGAAGAAATTTACGAGCCCTTCCCTGCCAGCTTTACTCTTCAAAATATTTACAAAAGTAATGCCACCATGCGCTCGCTGACATGCTCACTTTTACTTCTCCCGCCGAGAAACAAACGGATATTTTCTTAACCTTCAATTAGGAACGCGGGTTATTGTCATGCACGTACAATGCCCTGCCTCGTTCCCCTATCATCCGTTCTGCGTCCCACCCGTCGGGCTGAGGGGGAAATCTCTACCCGAATAGCTTGAATGCCATTAATTGAACAAGAACCCATGGAGCAGCGCTGGGTTGTACAACTTGCTGTTGTGGGGCAGATGTGCTCGGGTGGCAGCTCTCGGAGCGCCCCGACGTGCAGGGCAGAGCCCGAATCTCTGCGATTTGTCTTCGAATTCCGTCGAGGTTTGCGCAGAGGTTTTATCGATTTTTTTTTTCCCCCTTCGTTTCGTTGCGCTATGAATCCCACGGTGCTCGTCGGTTGCGGGCTGTGCCTGAGCATCAAAACTTCAGGTTTTACGTAGTTTACTCCGAGAAAAATTTTTCGTCCTTCTGTGCGTCAGACGTAGGATAGTGGAATAGTGAGGGTACCGTCCGGGACTGCTTCTGTCGGAACGCATGTTTGGGAACGGGCAGCGCGACGCAGTGATTGCGCGGGTTGGGAGCTATAGGTGGACGCACGGCGAGGAGTTGCTGCCTACGGATGCCTCTAACGGCAGCGCGAACGCGAGCGTCGGGTGAATGCAGCGCTCCTGCGGGAGGAGGGAACGAAATTCGGGCGGAGATGCCGCAAGCGAGGCGGGCTCTGGGGCTCCGGGGCTCCGGCTTGGGAGCGGGACCGCTGCTCCCGGGGAAATGGAAATAGTCAAGTGCGAAAATAGCGCTACAGCCGAGAGTGGCAAAGGCGGGTGCCCTGATTACCTGGAGAGGCGGAAAAATTGCTGCTGGGTGCATATGGTTGGAAAAGCACCCAACAGGAAGGCTGGCTTCTGAGGGGCTTATTCGAATAATTTTTATGAAGGGCCAAGGGATGCTTAGATTCTACCTGTGCGTTTTTAATTGAACGAATAGAATCTATAGAATTCGTTAGCTGCCCGAATTGTGCTGCAGAATTCCTTCCCCATCAATCGCTAACGCGAGTGTCGCTACAACAGCGGCCACCTCCCAGTATAAAGCACTGGGATTACAGTACGCCCCGTATCAGCGGCACCAGCGCGAATCGATTGTTTCAACCCCTCGGATGGGAGGGGGGGGAAGAAGAAAAAAAAAAAAAAAAAAAGGAGCAGAAAAGAAGAAGAAATCGTTCTTTGAGCTGAACACTCAGTAACTTCATATCGCTTAAAAAAAAAAAAAAAAGAAAAAGAAAAACAAAAAAAAAAAAAAGTGAAAAATGGAGCAGTGATCCCGCCTTACGCCCAGCCCCACGGAAGGTGCCCGGTGTGTGCTGTGGCCCCGCCTCCCCCCGCTGCCGGACGGGGACAGACCCCTCACCCGAAAGTTTGATACCGCGTTTCGGCTGTCGCATCAATTGTGGTTTATTTTTTTCCTTCCCAGCCGGCGCGTGAGAATAATATATGCAGCAGTTGTTAGCCTCACTCCAGGGAAAACGAAATGTATAAGGAAAGCTTATTCGTGAGGAGGAATATACTAATGGAACAATCTGATGTCTTCTTAATCCTATGTAAAAAGCTCTGTAGTCTTCCTAATATTGACTGAATGGGTAATTAATGGCTCTTCATCGAGGAGAATACGCGGTAATCCGAGATAGGCGGGAGACAACAAGGGAGGGGAGCAGCCGGTAAAGCGAGCGGGACTGCGCAACCCCGAGGTGTCGGTCGGGGAGAGGGTTACACAACGATCCTATAGGGAGATAAAGGAAAAGTGGGAAAGTAAAGACCTGCGGGAGGTGGTGGGTGGGGAGGAGGGAAGGGGGCAAAATAACACTCAGAATAAGATAAAAATAAACCGAATACAACCAAAGAATAGCAAAAGGAGAAGGAAGGGTTCCTCGGTCCCTATTATTAGGTGTTGCGCCCGGCACCCCGGGCTGGGCTTTGGGGCGGCCCCGCAAAGAGGAGTGCGGGCCCGAGAACGGATGGGAGCTGCCAGAGGGAAAGGAAAAGTTTAAAAAAAAAAAAAAAAAAAAAAGACTTCTGACATTTTAATTGGAACCTTTAGCGCTAATATATGGCTTGGGTGCCTACAATGAGCTTGTTTTTCGGTTGGCTGATAGCTTCTAAAATATTATTTCGCTTGGGAAATAAAAGCTTCATCTCAGCTTCTAGGTGGGTATTTTTGGATTTAGGTGATTTATGGTCGCCATGACAACTAACGCCGCCTGCCCGCTCCCCTCCCAGCCGGGTGCGGGGCTGTAGGAGGGAGGAAGAGCCTAAACCCCCTCGCTTTTGGGGATCTGCTTTCCCCCCCCCCGGTGGGAGCGGAGGACGCAGGGCCGGGTCCGCACCGGGGGGGTCCGACAGCGGTAGCGAGGGTTGGGAAGGGTGCGGGGACAGGATCGGTAAACAAATTGCGCGGAGCGGAGCCGGCTTCGTATTGACTCAGTTATAGGTCATCGGCTGCCGGTGCGGAGGGAGGAAATATTTACTTTACACATATACTTTATGATCTTGGGGGAATTAGAGGAAATTCAATAAGAAAACGGCTAGAATCATTTTAAACCCCCTATTTAAGAGACTTAAGCAAATTAGAGTCTTATCAGATTAAAATCCACTACAAATGTAAGAGCGTTGTCTCCGCCGAAACGCTGTGGGGTCTGAGGAAAGAGATTCGCTGCCAAATCTCGGGGATAAAAACGCGTCATTTAAACGGCAGATAATGAGCAGAATGTAAATTAATTTAACCTTCTTTACTAACAGCCCGCCAAAGGAATATGTGCCGTTCGGCGATAAGTGCCATTGCGAGGAACGGTGCGAACATCAGCGGGCGGAGAGACCTCGGAGGGGGGAATGAAGGGAGGGGAGGAAGGAGGAGGAACTGTCCCACGGGCCGGCGGCACCTGAGCCCCGGAGGGGGGGAGGAGGACGGGGCGGGCACTGCTGCGGGGAGGGCGCGGGGCCGTAGCGGGAGGCTTCTCCGGCGGGTCCGGGCGGAGGCGCGGAGATTACGCGTGCTCGGGGCCGGGATTCGCGCAGCCCTTCCCGCATCGGTGGCTGCGAGGTGGGGGCTTCCCGAACCGCGCCGCGGAGAGCTGCTCTCGGCCGTCGTCTCTTCGTTGCCTTCGCGCTCGTTAGGGCCATTCGCGACCGCCGGCGCCGCTGTCAGCGGCCACGAGCCTGTCCCACCCGCCGCAAGGCCCTCGCTCTTATTGCCCAGCCGGGGCCGGAGCCCGGCCTCTCCTCCCGGGGCCGCCCCGCTCCGCTCCGGCAGCCCGGTGCCGCCGCGGGGGAGGCCCGGGAGGACGGGGCGGGGCGCGGCGGGGGCGGGCGGCGGGAGGCGGCGCGGGGGCGGAGCGGGGCGGGCGCGGGTGACGTGCCGGCGCGGGGAAGGCCGCCACCGGTTTAAGATGTCAGGCCAAGAGGGAAGCGTCTGAGCTGATGCGGTGCGGGGCTGGCCGCGGCGCGGCGCGGGTCCATGCGCGGGCGGCGGAGCGGAGCGCCCCGCGGAGCGCCGCCGAGCCCCGCGGCGGGCCGGGGGCCGCCTGCCGGGGAACTGCGGTGTGGCCGTGACGGCTCTTGCGGGACCGGAGCCTCTCGCTCGCCTGCCGCCACCGCGCCCCCTCGGGCGGCGGGGGCTCCGGGGCGCGCCCGCCCGCCCAGGCGCTAGCAGAGCCCCGGGAGGCCGCCCAAGGAGGGCGCGCCGCGACGGTCCGGGCCGCCCCCCCGGGCACACGCGCTCCTTCTCCCGTCAGCCCTCCCGGGCGCGCCCGTCGGCTTCGGCGTCCTTTCGCCGATGAGTTGCATGAAGGACCCGTTAAGCCTGGAGCGCCTGGGAGCCGGGAATAATAAGCTGTGCTCTTCCTCACCTTCCTCCTCCTCTTCCTCGTCCTCCTGCCATCACCAGCAGTCCGCGCTGGCCATGGCGACGGCGCTGGCGCCGGGGCAGGCTCGCTCCTCCCTGGAGGCCGCCAAGCACCGGCTGGAGGTGCACACTATCTCCGACACCTCCAGTCCCGAAGCCGCAGGTAAGAGGCGGCGAGCGGCGCGGAGCCCCCGGCCCGCAGCGCCTCGGTCCTGGCTCGGGGCGGGTGGTGACTGCTGCGGGAGAACGGTGTAAGTGGAGCGGGCGAGAGATCGTGTGTTGAGGGCGAGTGATGGGGGAGCGAATGGGTGAACAACGTGGAGAGTGAAGTGAGTACAGATGAGCGAATGTTAGGACGCAGAGGGCGGAATATATTGATACAGAAGGCTCAGTAATGTGGATAACAGACAGGTGAATATATAGTGAATAACGTGGATACAGATGGCCGAATTGTACGGGTACACAGGGCAGATAAAATGGGTACAGGCTTACGAATATATGTCGAATCGTGTGGGTGCAGATGGGTGAATGAAATGGATACTGAGGACGAATGACATGGATACAGTGGGCAGGTAATGTGGGTACAGAAAGGAGGTAATGTGGATACAAATAGGCGACCGTATGATGAGCAGCATGGATACAGATAGGCGAGTAACGTGGATGTGTATAGGCGGGGATGTGTATATACGGGCAGATGGGCGAATGGTACAGATAAAAGGATGTAGGATACACAAATAACATGGATGTAGACGGGCGGATAACACTGTTACGGAACGTGAATAATACGGAGGCAATAGGGTGAACAACACAGGTATAAACAAACGAGTGATACGAACAGAGGATGAGCGGTAACGGACGACAACGGGCGAGCGCTGCGGGTAGAGGCGGGCGGCCAGCGCTGGTGGGGACGGGCCGCACTTCGGCTGTCCTCCGGCCGGTAACGCGTTACGCGTACGCGGAGAGAGGAACACCGCCGGCGTCGGGAGCGCAAACGGATGGGAGAACGCAACTCCCGTAGCGGGCGGCGGAAAACCCGCAGAGGAGAGCGGAGCTGGCGGGGGCCGGGCGCGGGTTAATGATTAGCGGCGCGGGGGCAGTCCGCGGGGAGCGGGGCGAGGCTTGGGAGGCTGAGGTGCCCCTGTTTTCCGCCCCGCTGTTTTCTCTTCCCCCCTCGCAGAGAAAGAGAAGAGCCAGCAGGGCAAGAGTGAGGATGCAGGGCCCGAGGACCCCTCCAAGAAGAAGAGGCAGCGGCGGCAGCGGACGCACTTCACCAGCCAGCAGCTGCAGGAGCTGGAGGCCACCTTCCAGCGGAACCGCTACCCCGACATGTCCACCCGCGAGGAGATTGCCGTCTGGACCAACCTCACCGAGGCCCGGGTTCGGGTGAGTCTGGGGGCGGAGCGGGGAGAGAGATCCGCGGCCTCTTTCGGTTTCGGGTCGTCGCGGAGAGTGGCGCTCGGCCCTCCGGCTCTGTTCTCGCTGCGGAGCGCGGCCCCCCGCGGAGCTTTCTGCCGTCACGGTGCCGCTCCTTCCGACGAGAGCCTACGGAAACCACTGGCCGGGAGAGCGGCCGGGATCAGGCTGCGACCTGCGCGGCTTCTAACGAGAAAAAGATGTACAACACACGCGGGCCGTGGCCTCGCTCCCGACGTGCCCATCCTCGCATTTTCTTTCGCTTCGCAATTCGCCGAGCGCCTCTCCGCCCTTTCCCCTCTCTGAGATTTATGGGAGCCATCGGTGCGCTGCGGACTTCCCGAGGCCACATCCTGCGTGCGTGCAAAAGCTGGGAAAATAATAATAATAATAATAATATATAATAAAATAAATTAAAAGATATACAGTGAGCTGAACCGAACCTCCCAAATGTTCGGGAAAACAAACCAACAAAACAACACCTAAACCTCTTCTCTTGGAGAAGGCAGAAGGCTAGCAATGCGGAGCGGCGCTGGGAACTGTGCGTCGGTGTGCCCGGCGCTGATCTCCGCTCCCTGCTCCGCTCTGCCGCCGCCGGCTCCGCACCCCCCGGGGTTCCAATCCACACCGACTCCGCGGCTTCGCCGCCGCCGCCCGGCGCTCAGACACCCGCGTGTGGATTGGAGAGAGCGCGCTGCCCTTTGTCTGCGGGGAGGCTCCCTCAGACCTCATTTAGCACGTTGTTAAGAAGCGATTTTCTTTTCTTTCTCCCCCCCTCGCCTCTCTCCCCCTATTTTTTTTTTTTTTTTCCTTTTTACTAAAGAGCGGTCGAACGAGTTTGTTTAGAAGTGGTTCCCGGCTCTGGAAGCTCTCTCAGGGGGAACTCGGAGCTTTAACCAAGTGAAGCAACGATTTATGAGTTGCTGGCTTCCCTCTCCCTCCCCGTAATAGGAAACATTGCCTTAAAGTTCCGCCGCTTTCCAGGCTCTCTGCCGTCCGTTTTTGCACTCTTGTATTTCCCCTGGATGGTGGTGCTTTGGATTGAGCCAAGGAACGGGGAAAAAAATAAAAGAAAGAGAGAGAGAATCGGAGAGGGGGGGGGGGGGAAGAAAAAAAAAAAGAAAAAAAAAAAAGAAGAAAGGACAGAAAGACAGAAAGAAAAATAAACGGGGGGGGGGGGGGGGGGGGGGAGAGGGGAAGGGGAGTAAAAAACAAAACAAAACAAAAAAACCACGTTCTTTCCTGTGGTTGGAATGAGAGCACAGCCATCTATGGGAGAAGCTCTGTACCCATCTGGGGATGGTAGGCTCGGGGCAGCCCCCACTAACACGCTTCTCCATCTCCCCCCCTCCCCCGTTTCTAAAGGTTTGGTTCAAGAACCGCAGAGCCAAATGGAGGAAAAGAGAGAGGAACCAGCAGGCCGAGCTGTGCAAGAACGGCTTTGGGCCGCAGTTCAATGGCTTGATGCAGCCCTACGACGACATGTACCCCGGGTACTCGTACAACAACTGGGCGGCCAAGGGCCTCACCTCAGCCTCCCTCTCTACCAAGAGTTTCCCCTTCTTCAACTCCATGAATGTCAACCCGCTGTCCTCCCAGAGCATGTTCTCCCCTCCCAACTCCATCTCCTCAATGAGCATGTCCTCCAGCATGGTGCCCTCGGCGGTCACCGGCGTGCCCGGCTCCGGCCTCAACAGCCTGAACAACTTGAACAACCTGAGCAACCCCTCCCTCAACTCAGCGGTGCCCACGCCGGCCTGTCCATACGCCCCTCCGACGCCTCCATACGTTTATAGGGACACGTGTAACTCGAGCTTGGCCAGCCTGAGACTCAAAGCCAAGCAGCACTCCAGCTTTGGCTACGCCAGTGTGCAGAACCCTGCGTCCAACCTGAGCGCCTGCCAGTATGCCGTGGATAGGCCTGTGTGAGCCCAACCCAACCCCGCTGCCACGGACTGAGCTGCGCTGGAGAGCGGTGGGCACCGTGGAGGAGGAGAGGGGGTAAACAGAGAGGAGAAAGAGGAGAGAAGGGAGTAAAGGAAACCACTGAATTGAGATAGTTCCTTTGTTTTCAAAGGACCTCTACGGATCGGGAGATCTTCGCTAAGAGTATTTCAGCAGTTACAAGGACATATATATATATATATATATATACGGACAAATGGTTGACTGGATATGATATGACATTTTAATGTTCCTATAAGCTTGTTATTTTTTAAGTTTAGCGTTGTTAACATAAAAAATGACGGAAAGGATGTATATATATCGAAATGTCAAATTAATTTTATAAAAGCAGTTGTTAGTAATATCACAACAGTGTTTTTAAAAGGGTAGGCTTTAAAATAAAGCATGTTACACAGAAGCGATTAGGAGTTTTTCGCTTGCGAGCAAGGGAATGTATATACTAAATGCGACACTGTATGTTTCTAACATATAATTATTAAAAAAAAAAAAACATTGTGTGAATATCGGTTTTAGAATAGTACCTCTGGTGGATGCAAAGATGTTTCTGATATTGCAATGTAAAACATGCCCTGTGTATAACATTTCGTACAATATTCTCGTTTTACTTTTCAGCCGACATGAAAAATAATGTGTTTTATTTCATGGGAGTAAAAGATGCAGCATTCACTTCTTCTGTCCAGCGCTTTATTTCCGAAGGGGCGCGCAGCGGCAGCCGCTCCGCAGCCGCGGATGTCTTTTGCTGCACTCCTGCGGCGCCGCTTTTGAGCGCGGTACGAAACAACGACGCGCTTTTTCATGCGGAAAAAAATACATATGGAAAACCCCTTTTCCCTCTGGAGGTGCGCGGCACAGAGCGGAGGATATCCCTCTGTCTGTCCCCCTGCGCACCCCAAGAGAGCGGTTGCAGTGGTGCGCTCGGGAATTGGCGGCCGTAGAGCCGCAGAGAGAGCTTTTATCGCCTTAAAGAAGAGGGAGGGGGAGAAAAAAAGAAAGAAAAAAAAAATCGAGAAGAAGAAGCAAAGCCCGTCCGCAAAACAACCCGCTCCCGTGCGGCAGTCGCCCCCCACGCTCACCTTCTCAGCGGAGCGGCAGCTCCTTCACGCAGCGCTGCATCGCTATTTCCGAAGCCCCGCGCGGATGGTACGGAAACAAAGAGCGGGCGCAGCGCGGCGCGGGGTGAGAGGTGAGCCCCCGCTTCCTGCCGCGCCGCGCCGCGCCGCGCGCTCCGAGGGAAAGGTCGTGCTCTCGCGTGTTTTGTTTTAAATACGGGTGACCCATTAATTCTAAACCTGCTTGTTCCTGAAATTATACGGGATTATAGCTCGCGAGCTCCGGACAATGAGGCAAATCAAGATGAATTGCCGCTCGGCCCTCCCGGCGGTTCCCACCCGGGCTGCCGGGAGGCTCGGCGGAGTGAGCGGAGGGTCCCTCCAGAGAGCGGAGCGCGCTCGGGAGCGGGGGGGAACTCGCGGCAGCCGGGCTGAGACCCCCGGGCGGGCGCCCCCCGGAGCGGGACCGTCGGGGCGCAGGGGGGCGGGGAGTGAGCACCTCCCGGCGGGCCGGGGGGAATGAGCGGCGGGATAGGAAGAGGGAGAGAGGGACCGAGGCCTGGGGAGAGATCGGGCCCACGGGATAAGCTCCCCCCGCCCGATACCGGGATCCCCCCGCTCTGAGGCAGGCAGCCTCCTCTCTTTTCGTTTTTTCTTCTGTTATTGTTTATTTCTTTCTATTTCCTCACCTTTCCCCCCACCCCTCCGACACTCTGTCGGGTCGGGGGGAGGTAGTGGCCCCCCCGTGCCCGGCCGCGCTGCCCGCTCGGCCCAGCGCTGCTCCCGTCGGTTTTCCTGCGCCGTGTCAACGCTTCGGACGGGTGAGTGCCAGCGGCGCGCCACGGGGCCCCCACCCCACTCCTCCCCCTGCTCTGCTCAGCGGAGCCGGGGGCGACCCAATTGAGTCCCCCCGCGGGGACAGCGCGGTGACGGCGGGCGCCTCTTTCGCCTCTCGGTTCTTCGCGGCGCGCTGTTATTTATACCGCTCTCCCTCCCTGTAGAATGTCTGCATGTGTGTTTAGAGGATGTGTGTGCGTGGAGAAAGAATATACGTATCTAATATATGTATATATACGTTGAGGGTAATATATGGGCCGTTTCCGGAGCACAGAAATATTGGATCAGAGTTTTCCACTCTACTGTGTAATGGCTCAAACGATGAAAAATCAACGTGACCGCTCGGAGCGGACATAAATCACTCCGAGTGTGATCTGAATTTCTCTCTCCGCCTAGCTGAAGCCTGGAGGGTCATCATTTTTCTGCGCCACTTGACCAAAGATATAATGTTTTGATTAGGTCGTAAATCAAAATCTTGGGCTGCGCTTTTCTTCCTTTTTTTTTTTCTTTTTTTTTTTCGGGGGCTTTCCTTCTTATCAGCGGTGGCAGCGCGAACCTGGAACAATGGAGGCCGTGCAGAGGAGAGGGGGGCGAAAAAGAACCACAACGAAACAGGGAATTTGCAGCAGACCTCTGTCGGGCGGCAGCCGCGGGGGGGTGAACAGCGGGGCGCCCACCCCCATCCGCCCCCCCCGCCCCTCGGCACGGCCGCTCCGGTCTCCTGCTGTGCGGCCCCCGCGCCGGGCGTGCGAGCGGGCAGCGCCGTCTGCTCCCAATCCACATCCCAATCCACAGCGCCGGCGGCCCGCGCAAACCCCGCGTAATCCCAACGCTGCCCCCGCCGAGCCTTGCAGCCCCTCTGCCGCCGGGGCAACGAGGTGCCGCCGCGCTCTTTTGTTTTCGGACGCCTCCTCCGCATACTTTCAACGCCGGCGGCGTGCGCATGGCCCGTGCCGGGCCGGGCCGCAACGAGATGCGCGGCGGGGCGGCTCGTCTGGGTCAGCGCGGGGCTCCGCGCTGTGCCATCGTCCCTCTCTTGTCTTCCCGCGTTATTTTCGCTCGCACGCACTCATCCGGCCCTTTATTTTCCCGAACGCGCAGGTCTCCCATACCTGCCCGTTTCTACACCTCCGAAATTAAAGAACCTTTTCACTTCTCTGCGAGACCCATCGGCATTTTGGGAAGGAAGGAACTTCCTTGGGAAAACAGCTGACATTCGAGCCCGGCAGAGTTTTCTGGAAGACACTCTGCAGCCGGGCAAAGGCGCAGCCCGCTCCCCCCAGCGCCGCATTCCGCACGGCGGGCGCTCAAGATGTGCTGGTGAGGAGATGGTGGGGCCACCCTGGGGGTCGGTGCAGTCAGGGTGTGGTTTTCCCCCTGCGGATACCCGCGTTGTAGTGGTGTCGTTGTGGGCAGTGTGCGCCCCGAGGACCGAACGGTCTTTAACCCTGAGCTACAATGGGTTTGCACCTCCGGAGCTCAGCGCAGCGCCCGGTTAATGGATCGCTGCATCCTGGGTTTGTAAATGCAACCCATTGCGGTATTAATTGCCGCAGACATTCGTGTCTTCTCCTCGGGAGAGGAAAAAAAAATAACAGGAGAAAAGAAAAAGAACCTTTCACTCTTAAATCACCGGCGGCAAAGCCTTTACTTTTTTCTTATTCTTATTTTTATTTTTAAGGTGTTGGAGGCCGCATTTCATGAGCTCGGCTCTCGCTCGTCCTAGGCAGAGACTCAGGGCAGCTCCGCGCCTGCAGGGAGAAATGCGGGTACGGCAGCTCGATTCCTGCTGCCAGGGGGCTTTTGCTCGCCTTCTCCCTTGGGGTCTCGGACACCTTTTGCCTGCCGCAAGGTGGAGGCTGAGGTTTGGAGTCGGGTCCGTGTAGGTGGCATCGTACGAACGGGGCTCCGATGGGGGATGCGGAGTGAGCTGGAGGTGAATCCCCGGCCCGCGGCCTCGGTCTCGCGCGGCCCGAACCGCCGGCGGAGGATGGACGCATCGCAGCGCTGGCCTGAAACAAGAGGAAAATAATGCAAGGGGAAGTAATAAGAACGAAAAACACCGAAAGAAATGAAAATAAAAGGAAAAAAAAAATAACAATGTAGGGAGGAGGGTGGAGGGGGAAATAATACAAGAGTAAATAATAATAAAAGGTTAAATAATAAAAGGAAAATAATAACAGGAAGAAATAGCAAGAAGTAAATTTAGTAAGAAAAAGCCGCAGCTCCAGAGGCCGGGGTGGAGCTGAGGAAGAGCCGCAGCCCTTCGGCCTCAGCCCCCGTCCGAGTGGCGCTTGGGGCCGTGTGAGCGCGGAGCTCCGTGCGCAGCCGGCCCGCTCCTGAGGATGCTCCCGCGGGTGCCCACAGAGCGCCAGATAACAGTGGCGGGGGCGGACCACCAGCACCGCCCCTCTGCGCTCCGGCGGGGTTTGGCCCCTTCCCGGGGCTGCTGGGCGATGCGCGGGGAGCTGGCCCGGCTGGCAGCCCGGTCGCGTTGAACATTAACCGGCCCCACACGCCGCGGAGCAAAACGAATCATCTCGCAGGTTCTAGCAAAACGTCCCGTAAAGGCCACCTATAAATCCTCTCGGCGTTCTCGGCTTTGCGTCTTGCCGGTGCGACGGAGTACCTATCTGCCACTCCGCTCCCTCCCACCCTGCTCCCAAATACCGCCCGCGGCCCTAATCCCGACCCCGCACGCCCCTGGGTGCCTGCGTGCGGCTTACGGGAGCTGCCTCATACAAGAGAGCCCCTATACACCCCGGCCTGGCCCCGCCGTGCCCAGTCGTTACGTGTTTTTCTCTGGATTAAAAGGAAAATAAAAAGATTTTTTTAAAATCCCGATGTGGCGCGGTGCCGTGCAGCCCCATGGGCGGGGATCGATGAGCACGCAGGGATCGATGAGCACGCAGGGATCGATACCGCTGCAGCTGAGGTTTGTGCGGGAAAGAAGGCGGGGAAGGGGGGGGGAAGAGGTGGGAGAAGAACCCGCTGTGCAAAGCCCCGTCCTGTGCGGTGTGTGGGGAATGCGAAAGCCGAGAGTGGGGCCGAGCTCACCGCTCCGTGTGTATATTCAGTGTGGCTGCGGTGCTCAGGCTCATAGGGACTACTTCCATGCTTAAAGTTATTCGCATGCCTGAGTGATTTGCTGGATTGTGGCCATATGTAAAGCAATAAATATAAGTGGCTACTTCTGTGCAAACAGAGATCCAGAGGTCTGGCAAGTGATTTTCCAGCAGATCTCGACCTTGCACCGTTGAGATAAAAGCCAAGAGAACTCTTGGCTTGCCTTGCCTTTCGTTCGATTAAACAAAAACCCAAGACAACAATTAAGGTCATCGGGACAACACAAGCACAAGTCGTTGCAGAGCACTGCACAGGGATCAGCAGCCCCACACCTGGGCTGTTGCTCTCAGCCCTCTGAGCTGGATGTGGAGCTGCAGAGCACCTCACACACACTGAGTGGCTCAGACGGCTCTTTTGGTGCCCTCTGAAACTCTCGGGGCTTCTCCTGCAACGCCGAGAGGAGAGCAGTTCCCAGGCAGCAGCAGCTCCTCCCGCGAGGATGGGGCAGATTCCCATCATTTCTCTGGGGAAGGTCATGCGTGCTTCCCACTCCTCAGCTGGGATGGGAAGGGCCATGGAGGCAGAGGTGGCTCTTCTGCCCTTTATTTGCGGAGCCAAAATCTCCAGCAATTTGCATTTTTTCATTGCAAAGTAAAACAGAGCTTGATTAAAATAATAATATCCAGCTTTTGGCAATGCTTCCTATAAATTCAT